TCTTCAGTTGTCTTCATGAACTGGAAAGAAAAAAACCTTTCTTGGATGAGAAGTAAAACGTCTTCAAGCAAAAAGTTGCCTTTTCAAAAAGGACCTTGATAAGAATACATCCTAATTGCCCATGTTGATGCATTCTGGACCGCATTCTAGAAGTTCCAAGTGTCTCTCAAGGGCTGCTTCATGTAGCTCATTGCTTTGTTAGTCGCACTTCTCTCTAAAGGGTTTTGGACATACAGAGGTCCTGTCAATATTAATTCAATTCAAGGCCCTTATTGTTAAAAGAATCTGGTCCATCATGGCACACAATACCTAAGAAGAGTTGAGAGGCTAGACGAGAAACACAAAATCTTCAGTGCTGTTCTTCATAAGATCACCACAGATGGAGACTGCAGCCAAGAAATTAAAAGACGCTTGCTCCTGGGGAGGAAAGCTATGGCAAATCTAGACAACATACTAAAAAGCAGAGACATCGCCCTGCCAACAAAAGTGCGTATAGTCAAGGCCATGGTTTTCCTAGTTGCAATGTATGGCTGTGAAAGTTGGACCACAAGAAAGGCTGAGCGCCAAATAATTGAACTATGGTGCTGGAGAAGACTCCTCCGAGTCCCCTGGACTGCAAGGTGATCAAACTGGTCAGTCCTAGAGGAGATCAACCCTGACTGCTCTTTAGAAGGCCAGATCCTGAAGTTGAAACTCAAATACTTTGGCCACCTCATGAGAAGGAAGGACTCACTGGAGAAGAGCCTAATGCTGGGAAAGATGGAGAGCAAGAGAAGAAGGGGACGACAGAGAATCTCTCTCTTTCTCTCTCTCTTTCTCTTTCCCTTTCTGTTACTCTCTCTCTCTCTTTCTCTGTGTATGTGTGTATGTGTTTCTCTCTCTCTCTCTCTCTCTCTCTCTCTCTCTCTCTCTCTCTCTCTCTCTCTCTCTCTCTCTCTCTCTCTCTCTGTTTTTCTCTGTTTCTGTGTTTTTCTCTTTCTATGTCTCTCTCTCTCTCTCTCTCTCTCATGGGGAAAATGGGAGGAAGAAAGTGTGTTGGATACGTTTGTTGACTTGAGTTATTTGTAAAAAAAATAATAATAAAGGCGGGTTAATAATAAATAAATAACATCCTGTTTCATTTTGTGTACGACACTCAGAACTTGGTGGTAGAGAGTTGCTTTAATAATCCTGTTGCTTTAATAATCCAGAAAGCCATTTCTTAGCATGTGGTCATGGGTGTGTGCCGATACGTGTGCATGTTGTAGGATGGGAGAGTGGATGAACTTGAGTTGTTGCTGAATTGTATGATAATTCATCTAGCAAAATGAATAATTACCCTCGCGTTCTTTATCGGGTTCTTCCAGTTTTTTAATGAACATAATCGACATGTTAGGACAAGAGCAGACTTGATGTTTCTAAAGTTCAACTTTAGCAACAAATTTAGCAACTTCATAGTAAGGGGAAAAAAGGCTGAAAAAGATGATTTAGCTTGGTATGACTTTTCATTAAATGGGGCCAATTATTTAAAATTAGATTGAGAAGAAAATCTCATGAGCCATCTGTCTGAACTAACAGTCTTTTAGCAGTTGATGCCGTTTCACTTGATTTTTGTAAAAGAATTTAGTAAAATTCTCACATAATTAGCCTCCGTGCACTTTAACCCACTAGTTTAATTTGGCATTTCCACTTTTACTTCATCCTCTTTAAGTACTCAAATACAATCCAAGGGATGGTTTCATTTTCAAAACCAGAATATTGGCTAACCATCATTTCAAATCCCTTACCAGCTTTTCTATATTTTCTGAAAAAGCATAAAATCCAGTGAGTGCTAATACAAAAATAAAAACACATTTTTTTTCTTTCTTGTTGTATTACCAAGACACACTATCAAAGTTTTCTGGTTATTCTCATCTTAGAACAGAAGTTTGGGTAGCCATGGTTTGTACTTCTGTTGCTTTATAAACATCTGAGAACATTAAGCATAAATATTCCTTGTATGTTTTGAAAGCATGTACGGCTCACTTTAGCGTCTCTGCTCTGTTGCCTATTATATTTTGTTGCTATCAACTTGTGGATTTTACCAAGTTGATCGGAGAGCATGTTTCATTTAAAACTGCAGTTGCTTTTAATATTACTTCCTGAAAAAAGCACACAAAAGGATGGCACAAACTGATAGACTGAAAGGAAACTGCTATTAGCAGTGACTTTTTCCTCAAAATATCATCTTGGGGGGAAGATTTTCTTAACTCTTTCCATTTTCCTGTCCATTGTGCTTCTCCCAATCTTTGAGTTTGGGGAGGGAATTTGAAACAGCACTCTTAATCTCATTGATAATCAGGCAGAAAAAGTCTACCCCTTTAGTAAATTTGTAGCGGGGAGCATGGGATGTCCACAAAACACCCATTTCACTTACAGGAATATACCTGTTTTAAAAAGATAAGGCCAAGGCCAAAACCAACCCAAAATGTGATTAGGTTAGATACCTAACCAGTTCTTCGCTCAGTGGCACAGGATACTGGCAATCCTTGACTTACAACTGGAACTGAGCCTGGAATTGTGGCTATGAGTGATGGGGGCCACCAGGTGACCATGATTGATTTTACAACCTTTTTTCCCCAGCAGTTGTTATGCAAATGTGGCAATTGTTAAGCAAACATGACAGTCATTAAAGAAGTCAATTTTCCCAATGGGTGTTCCCCCCCCCAGACAACAGGCAAAAAAAACGTTAAAAAATGAGGTCACATGGCTGCAGGATTTTGCAAACAGCCATAAATGAATGCAATCACGTGACTGCGGGACATGTATATGTGGCTATCAGAACTTCAAAAACAGGTCATATGTAGGTCTGGGGAGGTTTGTCATAACTGTGAACAGTTGCTAAACAAGGACTACCTATAACAACTTTCTGGCCCAGTGCTTAAGTTATTTTGGATTATCTAATGTTTCTACCCAGTGCTTTTTTTGTAAAAAAAAAAAAAAAAAGGTGCCGGAACTCACACACGTCATACAACCCGCTTGTCTACCCTACAAGGTTCCATCCAAAAAAGGTGCCAGAACTCCGTTCTGGGCATTCTATGACAAAAAAAAGCCCTGTTTCTACCTAAAATAAGGGCCATTTGGAGAGTTGTGCAACAGCTTTCTCAATTTCTTTTCGGTCACACTGTTAACAAATATATATATATGATTGCTTATGTATCTGAACTCACGATGCCTCTTTATTTTGTAGCTGAATGGCATTAAAATGGTGGATGAACCTATGGAGGAGGGAGAACCATATTCCTGTAATGTAAGTACATTTGGGGGGGTATTCCTCATGATAGGAACATCTGTTGAAGCCTTTTAAAATAGCTTTATACTATATGCAGAGCTTGTTGGGTATAGTCATCAAGGCATCAGGCTAAAAACCAGGAGATTGTGAGTTCTAGTCCTCTAGGTGACCGTGGGCCAGTTACTTTTTTTCAGCCCTAGGAAAGAAGCAATGGCAAACCACTTTTGAAAAAAACTTGCACAAAAAACTGCAGGGATTATTCAGGCAGTCTATAAGAACTGGACCAGATTGAATGCAAGAAAACCAAAGTATAAAGAGGTGTAAAGAGGAGACAAACAACATTTTCCTTGCTTCTTCATCAGGGAAAATTTGGTTTGCCTAGTTGTGTTTTTAAAATAATTACATATTTTCAAAACGTAAGTCCGCATTTTTTAATAATAATAATAATAATAATAATAATAATAATAATAATAATAATAATAATAATAATAATAATAATAATAATAATCTAATTCTATAAGAATTGCATCTGGAGCTCCTGCTTATTTGAAGCAGGAAAAAATGGTAGCTAACAGAATGCTGTAGTCTGAACATGCAACTGAAATTTTTGCAAATCTCAAGTTTTTGATTCAAAGATGCCCTGAAGTCAAACTTGATTCTTTGTGGTTATATCCATGCAATTTTCTTGACATTCCCAAGAGAAGTGGTTTGCCATTGCCTTTCTCTGAGATTCCTTTTTTCTATTTTCCAGTCTAGCCAGTTGCCCTGGAATTCCCATCTAATTCTCACAATCAAGAACTAACCAGGGCTGATCGCTGCTTAATTTCTGAGATCAGTTAGGGCTCGCTGCCTGCTGCCATCTACTCAGCCCAGCGGTGGAAAACAACATTGAAAACTAAGTTTGCAAAAGTGTCTCGTTTGCAAAAAACGTTTCTCCTTTCCTGCTTGGAGAAAGTTTTGGGGAGGAATTGTGTTTGATACCTTATCAACTTATTAGCCATGTTTACCATTCACACACTGCAGGGTTCTAAGAAATTTATATGATGGCTAATTACAGACGTAGTGGAAAAGACAAAACGGTTCTCAGCTCATAAACTTAAAACCCATTACAACAGAGGAACTGTTCTCTTGTAAGTCATATTCATTATCAGAAATGCCAAATTGAAATACTCCAAATGTGTTTTGGTCAATGTTGGTGCTTTAATTCTAGGGTAGTTGTTTAATATGGTGTTGCTTGCTCTGATTTTATTTTGTCTCAGATTCATCCTCTTCTAATAGCTTGTATTTTTGCTTGCAAACGTAACTAGGAAATGAGCTCCTTAAAACTATTTTGACAATGGAATGCTAATTCTTGTTGACAATTGCTCCGATTTATATTTCCCTGCTGATATAGATAGTAAACACACACACACACACATTCTCTCTCTCTCTCTCTTTCTGTCACTCTCTCTCTGTGTGTGTGTGTGTGTGTTTCAAAAGCTGGAAAAAAGAGAGAAAAGAATCCAAAAGAAATGTGGAAATTCTCCACGGATTCTAATGCTTATTCTGGAAGAAACTCCCACTCAATCCCAACAAATTACATTGTCCCTAACATGAGAACTAACATTCTAACCCTATATTTAGTGAGTCTCATTAGTAAATGTGTTGACTATTAATTAAAGAGAAACTTTTGGCCAAGGATCTTTATTTGTTCTGTGGTTTGTGTTCTTCCCCAAAATTGCCACACATAGGAATGCGTCTACGTAAATTAGAATCGATAAGATGATTAATTCAGGAGATTGATGGCATTTTTCTTATTAGACAAGCTTCTTTTTTAAATATTAGCCACACAAGGTCTGGGAGCTGGAAAATATAACATCTCAAGAGACTGTGAGTTCCATCCTAGGTAGCGCAAAGAGGAAATATCTGCTGTGAACTCTTGTGTAGGCATCAGGAAGGGCATCCAGCCAGTAAATGCTCAGCTCCATTCAGTCGCTCCGATTCCACCCTGATATTACAGGTTTACAGGGTTGTTAAAAGAAAAAAAAATGAATGTGGCTTATAGTAATGTTCTAATTGGTCTTGGGAATGTTTAAACATGTTGAAATGATAACTGCAGTAGTCAATAGTCAATATTAAGAATAGATTTAGGTAAAGCTGAAGCATACCAATATTTATAATATTAATTAACACCGCTAATTAGTGACATTCACTAGTTTTGATGAAATCATAAATAAATTTGCTGGAGATAGTATATTAACTTTAAAATATGCTTATTATATTATTGTAATGCTGTATTAATAATGCAGTAAAATAATAGAATATAATAAGAAGGTTTTACTACATTCCTGAAACTATTGTATTTATAAAAAGAAAAACAAAAGTCTTGGGATTTTAATTAAGAATAATATAATATTACATTTATTCATGCCATTAGATATTTCTGCTTAATTGTATTGGACAGAAATTATACCGTACATCACTGCTTAAATCCAGTCACAGTAGTATGGGTGGAACAGAACATAGATGAACCCAGTTCATCAATCTAGAACTGAAAATGAAAACTTTCTTTTCATTTGTTTGCTTTTTTATAATTCTGTGAATTTGTTGGTATTTTTTTAAGCCGAATCGAGGAAGAAGGAAGTAAATAAATATTGTAAAAACCAGTTGATTACTTAAGCTGGATCTTGCGACATTGCTGAATTGTCTAATCCAGAGGTCCCCAAACTTTTGGGCACCAGGAACCGGTTCCGTGGAGAGAGGTTTTTCCGCGGACCAGAGGGGGCGTGGTTTTGTGTGCTGCCTGCATCCCACGGATGGGGTTTTGCTTGTTTGTGCGGACCGGTTGCTGGCATGCTGTGGCCCGGTACTGGTCCATGGACCAGGGATTGGGGACCCCTGGTTTAATCTATGCTACTGATGTTCCAGATTTTAACATCTAATTAAAGCACTGTTGTGGAAAAGCTAAAAGAATTAAGGTGCTAGGAGATCAAATGAATAGGTGAAGATAGGTCCCTCAGAAATGAAGAGAAGGACACACAGATGAGCATCATCAAGCATAGCAACAATTTAATAATAATAATAATAATAATAATAATAATAATAATAATAATAATAATAATAATAATAATAATAATAATAAAGTTGGAAGGGACCTTGGAGGTCATCTAGTCCAATCCCCTGCTCAGGCAGGAAACCCTATACCATTTTGGACAAATGGCTGTCCAGTTTCTTCTTAAAAACTTCCAGTGTTGGAGCATTCACCGCTTCTGGAGGCAGGTAGTTCCACTGGTTAATTGTTCTAACTGTCAGGAAGTTTCTCCTTAGTTCTAGGTTGCTTCTCTCCTTGATCAGTTTCCACCCATTGCTTCTTGTCCTGCCTTCAGGCGCTTTGGAGAATAGCTTGACTCCCTCTTCTTTGGGGCAGCCTCTGAGATATTGGAACACTGCTATCATGTCCCCCCTCGTCCTTCTCTTCATTAAACTAGACATACCCAATTCCAGCAACCATTCCTTATATGTTTTAGCCTCCAGTCCCCTAATCATCTTTGTTGCTCTTCTCTGCACTCTTTCTAGAGTCTCAACATCTTTTTTACATTGTGGTGACCAAAACTGGATGCAGTATTCCAAGTGTGGCCTATTTATATACTTGTATATGATATTAGGCCATCCATGCTTAATGGTATCATAATGTGCATGCCATCATTTCACTGTTATTGTAGTTAGGAGATTGGGCTGCAAGAAACAAGAAGAAACTGAAAATGCAGATGTTTGGAAGATGTTAGGCCAAAATTGAAGAAGCTTGAAGCTGATGAAGCATTAGGCAGTTGTACAACACATGTTTTCTTTCTCCTGTTCTGCTACATGTGTAACTGCTGCCCACTCTTAACAGCTGTTGAATTTCCAAATCCTGTTCAAAATCTTTTTTTGTTTGTTTGTTCGTTCTATTATGTGGCTACCGCTCAGTATTTAGAATTCACTGGAAGTACTGTAGCATTTCAGATCCTTCAGTTGTGTGAGGTCTACGATGACTCAGCCAGCAAGTGTTCCGATTATGGTAATAAGAGAGTATAACATCATTTCTACTGACAGTGGCATTCAAAAGCGTTGTTTTCTTAAGTTCTTATTTAATTACTATTGTGTCAGTTTCCACAGAAACCCGTTCCCCTGTCAAATCCGGGTTACTTCAGATCACTTTTAAACATAGAAACAGATGAACTGCTAAGATCAGTTCATGCAAACAATTTTTTTTTTTTAAAAAAAAAAACCCAGTTAAAAGCAGCATCATGGGGTGTTGGATACTGGAACTTCATTTATTTTTGTCTTTGTGCGACTAGGCCACATGGATTCTACTTTTAACTGCTTTTTTTTTTTTTTTTTGGAAAGGGGTACCTTTTAGTGCACCCAAGTCTAGCGCTAAGATGATTTCTAGTATCACCTGAACAAAATACAGCAGTGTTCCAATATTTGAGGGGTTGCCACAAAGAAGAGGGAGTCAAGCTATTCTCCAAAGCACTGGAAGGCCGGACAAGAAGCAACGGATGGAAACTAGTCAAGGAGAGAAGCAACCTAGAACTAAGGGGAAACTTCCTGACACTTAAAACAATTAACCAGTGGAGCAACCTGCCTCTAGAAGTTGCAGGTACTCCAACACAGGAAGGTTTTAAGAAGAGATTGGACAGTCACTTGTGTGAAATGGTATAGGGCTTCCTGCCTGAGCAGAGGGTTGGACTAGAAGATCTCCAAGGTCCCTTCCAACTCTGTTATAATGTCAAAGAATAAAAGCCACTAATGTAAATGATTAAGGCGATTGAAGAGATGGGCAAAGAAATTTTGGGCTCAATTTTCTTTTCAGGGAAGTTTTGAGTAAAGATGGGACAGGATCTGGATTTCGAGAGGATGTTTCTTTTGCAAGATTATTATTAATCATACAATTTTATATATCAGCGAACACAGAATAAGTCAAATTAGGATGAATTGTTCCTTGGTAATATTGGATTGCAGTGCACCCTGACTCCCCCTCGCCAGTAATATGTTATTTTGGGATTGTGAAACAATCAGGGAAATTTAAAGAATCTCAGCCTGATAAACTGAAATAAACATTTATACTTTTTAATCTTGAAAGCTGAAGATAAGGAAAATTCTTCAGATGTATTCGAATGTCTATAAAATAGTGAGTCTCTTCCGAGTGCCTTTTCACCGGATTCTGCAATGATTGAGTTATTTTAATGTATAAATAGCCAAGTCTCAGAAAAACAAAAACTTCACTGTACATTTTCTCAGATTGTAAAATATAGCTCTGGTCCTTGATTTAGACTGAGTAGCCTGTATCTATGGGCTCTGCCTGAAATGTGGTAAGCCATCTTTGCTTCTTCGTTTGTTACAAATCATAAAACATAAACAATATTCTTTACAACTATGAACGATCTGCTTTAAGTATCTTTTAGGTCAGGGGTTCCCAACTGGGGGTGCGAGACGATATTCCAGGGGGTGCAAAAATTAGGGTTTAGAAGTTTCAAAATTATAGTGTGTATATGCATAATTCGTTGCCGTTATTTCGAACTTTTGTAAGGGGTGCGAGAATATATCAGAAGCGTTCTAGGGGCGCGGAGTATAGAAAAGGTTGGGAGATGCTGTTTTAGGTAAACAAGCAGGGTGCAGATATCTTAAATAATGTAACATTCATTCTTAACAGTTTTTCTTTCTTTCTTTCTTTCTTTCTTTCCTTTTTTCCTTTCTTCCTTTCTTCCTCTCTTTCTTTCTCTTCCTTCCTTCCTTCCTTCCTTCATTCCTTTCTTTCTTTCTTTCTTTCTCTTTCTTTTAAATAGGATGAAGGAAGTGTCAAAGAGATCCCTATTACCCACCATGTAAAAGAAGGATGTGAAAAAGCAGATCCTGCACAATTTGAATTGCTTAAAGTCCTTGGTCAAGGGTCATTTGGAAAGGTAACAATGAAAATAAGCCGTGTTTGTTCTCAATGTTGTGTTGGGTGTCCAATATAGCCCCTGATTCCACTCCTCTACTAGATATAAGGCTAGTGTTTTTAAGTGTTGGGGAACTTACTATAGTAAGTCCTGTAAGCATTTCAGTAACAATAGCAATAGCACTTAGTCTTATATATCGCTCCATAGCCCTTTACAGCCCTCTAAGTGGTTTACGGAGTCAGCCTCTTGCCCCTGACAATCTGGGTCCTCATTTTACCAGAAGGATGGAAGGTTGAGTTAACTTTGAGCCGGTCAGGATCGAACTCCAGGCTGTGGGCAGCGATAGCAATAGCAGTTGCAATAGCACTTAAGTGACTAGGGAATTCTGGAAAATCAAGTCCACATACAGTATCTGGAAGGATTCCAGGTTGGAGAAGTCTGATTTAAGGAAAAGGGGTATAAAATTTATACTGAATTATTAGATAATGGAGTTGATGATAGATGTTCTTTTTGGGGTTTTCAAGTGCCACAATTAAATTTGCAGCGGTTTAGGCTGTCTTACAGGATTGCGTAGTATTTCTTTGCAGTGGAATATTTTTATAAAATTAATCTTGGAGAACTAGGATTTTGATAAAAAAAACAGGCACTGGAAGTATTATTCTACACTTAAATAGCATATCTTACATCAGCTCATTTAGATACTGTTATCTGAATCTTTGTGGTTACTAGAAAGAAATTTATTGGACTACACAAGCTATACGTACACTGTACTGTATTTAATCTTTCTTGTTTGTTGAGGTTTTCCTTGTGAGAAAACTAATTGGTCCTGATGCTGGGTATTTATACGCCATGAAAGTTCTAAAGAAAGCTTCATTGAAAGGTATGCTTCATTTTAAAAAAAATATTTCTGCTGTATTTTTATTGATGAAATATCACCATTTATAGCTTAATAATGAGCTTTATCTTAAAGATGCTGATAAATTCCATTGAAGATTGTAGCATTTGAACAGAAATACCCAGCAGAATGAATGTGTGAATTCAAATTCAATATTGTGAATATTGCCTACTGTTTATACGGAAGCAAATAATTTCATTACGGTAGATTTTTCACTAACCAGCTGGTTATTGAGTTCTTAGCCCTGTCATCGGTCCCTGTTGCGAAAATCTCTTTGTCTAATCACAGAGATGTAGTAGTGACTGCTTACCAGTGGTTCTCAACCTGTGGGTCGGGACCCCATTTGGGGTCGATCGACCATTTCACGGGGGTCGCCAAGCAAGGCTGTCCACCATTTTTTTTGTCCACCATTTTTTGTCCGCCATTTTTTTTCCCCTTTTCCAGCGGGTGCCTTACCTCCCTTGGGCTGGGCCAGCTAGTGGTCGGCCTGCTCCGTCTCTGCCGCTTGCCAGCTACGCCTCGGCCGGCGCAGGGGGCGGAACCACGCATGCACGGCGCTCCCGGGCGGGGAAAGTCCTCGACTTACGACCGGTTGGGTAGTCCTCAACTTATGACCGGTTTAGTCCTCGACTTACGACCGGTTTAGTCCTCGACTTACGACCGGTTTAGTCCTCGACTTACGACCGGTTGGGGTCGCGGCATTAAAAAGGTTGAGAACCACTAGCTTAGACTATATAAAATTAAAGGGAATCAGCAGTTACTGATTTATTCCCAGGATTTATTGCCGGAATTGATGAAATATTTAAACTAGATTCACTTTAAATCATACCTGTAATACTGATTTGTAAGTAGCAGCATGTGGATGACCTTGACTGATCATAAGAAACTAAGGAAAAAATTCTGATTAAAATATGAATACAATTCCACTGGGAAATTCCAGAACTCTAGATTACCCTTTAAAACAGTACTTCTCAACCTTAGCATATGCTGTAGACTTTTAAGATGGGTGGACTTCAACTCCCAGAATTCCCCAGCCAAATGTTCGCTAGGGAATTCTGGGAGTTGAAGTCCATACATTTGAAAGCTGCCAAGGGTGAAAAACTCTTGTCTAGAAGAAGACAGTTCCATATCACTATGAGTAAAAAAAAAAAAAAGGATATTCCCATGTAAGTGATCAGAAGCCATGTTCAATTCAATTATTAACAATATTACAATTTTGAAGCGGCTGTTTTAAATGACTCATCGGAAAGTTGGCAGCTGTTCGCAAATATGTTGTACTAGTGAGTCTTGTTACAGTTGTGGCTTTTTCATGATGTTTTGGGAGTCTTGATGGTTGGATGTTCAAAGTCGCTTGAACTTTCCCATGCAATCTCCATGGAAAACACTGGGATGCTTCTGAAAATGACTAATAGAAATTTGTTCACAAACATCCTTTGTACGTTTGCTTATTGTAAAAGGCATCAATATGTATTTAGTTTCACTCTTCTTGGAAAACTTATGTTTGCAGTTCGAGACAGAGTTCGCACAAAGATGGAGAGAGATATATTAGTAGAAGTAAATCATCCATTTATTGTCAAACTGCACTATGGTGAGTATTATTGTCTGTGACTTCGATCAAGGTTTATCTGATAAATGTCTTCATTTCTAGAGTTTGGATTACATCTACTAGCTTGGTTAAAAAAAGAAAAAAAAGCAGACTTCATATTGTGTGATTAGATCCACGAGCGCCTCAAGCAGATATTTGTAAATGATTTCCACAAAACTGGGTTTATTTAGATGAGAGTTTTATTATTTACTTAGCGTTTGGCATATTGTACGTGGATTAGTAATATATGTCAACCTTTCATCTAGTTTAATAGAATGCAAATAAAATATAAATGTTAAAAATCTATGTTCAAATACCAATGTCTAGGCCAGGGGTAGGCAACCTTGGCTCTTTTATGACTCGTGGACTATGCTGGCTCAGGAATTCTGGGAGTTGAAGTCCACGAGTCATAAAAGAGCCAAGGTTGCCTACCCCTGGTCTAGGCCATCTAACCATCAAAGTGCAACATCATTTATATTTAAAAATATCACACAGTGGACCGGTATATGCCCTCAGCTTACACCCCATCATGGTATGATCTACATTTTGATGTGGGACCCCCACAGTCACACTGAGGGGAGGATACTATACCCCATTTATACACCCATGCGGGGTGCGAATCCTGTTCAGGATTGTCCATTGCTGACGTGGTAGTTCAAAGTCTGGAAACTTATGCGTGGGGTCATTTATATGCCTTCCTATATCTGGGTATTCAGCAACCCAAGTTGTCAGGCAGATGTTGTGCAAGTGCCAGTGGGGGCTTCCTGGATGCGGGTCTTCCGGCTGATAAATGAGAAAAGTCACAAAAATGCTGTCTCCCAGTGTGATGCTGTCAAATACTAATAAAGTATTTTAGAGTTTTACCTAAATATGTGGATATCAATTTAGTTTATTGGCCAAATAACTTATAGAATGCTATTGATTCCTCTTGCCTGGAGTAGTTAAAAGTTTAGAGCCCCCGAATGTCTGGTGTGATTAGGATATGTTATTTAGTGTTTTATCTATGCTGCCTATCTGTTGTTGTACAAAACTGATTCATATTTTATGGCTGCTCTTTACAGCCTTCCAGACTGAAGGAAAGCTATATTTAATATTGGACTTTCTCAGGGGAGGAGATGTGTTCACAAGATTATCCAAAGAGGTATGTATTTATGGACCTTTTAAAACATCGTCAACACTAGTGTGAAGTGGGAGCTTTCTACTGAATTTTTATCCTTGCCTTTTCTTCCAAGAGCTCTATTTTCCCTTTTTATATTTTCAACATCCATGTGATAGGGAAACTATGCTCAGAGGAGATGACTAGCTCAAATCCATTTATTCTAAATAATAATAATAATAATAATAATAATAATAATAATAATAATAATAATAATAATAAAGTTGGAAGGGACCTTGGAGGTCATCTAGTCCAACCCCCTGCTCAGGCAGGAAACCCTATACCATTTCAGACTAATGGCTGTCCAGTCTCTTCTTAAAAAATGTCCATTGTTGGAGCATTCACCGCTTTTGGAGGCAGGTTGTTCCACTGGTTAATTGTTCTCACTGGCAGGAAGTTTCTCCTTAGTTCTAGGTTGCTTCTCTCCTTGATCAGTTTCCACCCGTTGCTTCTTGTCCTGCCTTCAGGTGCTTTGGAGAAGAGCTTGACTCCCTCTTCTTTGTGGCAGCCCCTGAGATACTGGAACGCTGCTATCATGTCCCCCCTCGTCCTTCTCTTCATTAAACTAACATACCCAATTCCAGCAACCATTCCTTATATGTTTTATATATCTTAGTTTCAAATCTGGGTTTTTTTTCCTTGCCTAAATCTGGCTCTCTATCACTTTTCAGCGGTGAAGAAACTGGATCAACTTGCCATTAATATCTCTTAAGCTAATCTCCCTCCAAATTGTGAGGGTACAATTGGTCATGAAGTTAAGAGGGTGGTATGCTGTTTTTGGCTTTCTGGAGAAAAGGCAGGATTGGATAAATAGGCACCACCTACACTGTTATGACTACATTAAAAATCATCCTACTCTTTGCTTTTAGAAATGCTGTTTTCCCCACTCAAAGGAAAGGTTTCTGTGTAAAAACACAACGAGGTCAAATGTATTAATAAGTAAAGCATTTCTCGCTATGCGAGGAAGTAGGTCTTTTTTCCCCCTCCAGGACTTAGAAATGTCTTAGAAAGGATTGTAAAAGAAGAGATACTTCAAAGCACCCTGGAGTGCAAAACCCATATCACCTGGCTGCTTTAATGAGTCAACAGACAAATGCTGGACTCAATTTTTGGGGTGCTCCAACCAAGTTCAGATAATTGCAGAGTTTTGTCTTTTAATGGTTAGCTCTCACTTTTTATTTTCTGTGATCTTGGAGACCTTTTTATCATGTGGAATTGTTTGAGATACTTAAATAATCTTGTTCCGGTAAATGGAGATTGGACTGACATAGATAATACTGCTAGGGAGAAACTTCAACAGTGGGGATCTCAAATCACAAGAGTAAAAAATATCTTGTAGAGAAGTTTTGTCTAGTGAAAGTATGAATACTGTGCAAACAAGTAGAGGAGTTGCTTGACATCTTTCATTTGCAGCTAAAAGCTCCTGCAGTGACTGTAGATTTTTTTTAAAGGAGTAATCAGCTTAATATGATTCAGTTTAGACACTTACCTTGGAGTAAGCCGCATTAAGCATGGTAGAACTTATTTCTAGATAGATGTGCATATTTTGCCCTTGACAGACATTTATTTCAGTCATTGACCGATAAAAGTACAATCAATAAAATGAACAATGCAAAACTATCCCCTGACAAGAAGCCCTGTTAGCAACTGTTTGTGGGGGAAGCTTACACATAAGGTAGCAAAGATCTGCTATTTTCAGAGAAATAAATTTACCTTGATTATTTAACAGGTAGTAATTTGCACTTGAAAGTCACTCAGTTCGAAATATGCTTTCATGTGCATTTAAAACTCCTATTTAGAAAAGAATTGAAAATGTGTATGTGTGCTTCTGCACCAAGAGAGCCTGGTCATACTTTGGTATTATTTTTTGGGGGGCTGAAGTTTGGTGTGGGTACTGTAGCTGCTCTTTGGTGTTTTTCCCGATTGATTTCTAAACAAATATTTTGTGAAAGAGTGGTGTTCCGAGATGTTTATGCTGAGCTAAATGCAACGTTTCTCAAGCTTGGCCACTTTAAGAGCTGTGGACTTCAACTCCCAGAATTCCACAGGTTGCCTGGAGAATTCTGGGAGTTGAAGTCCACACCTCTTAAAGTAGGCAAGGTTGAGAAACACTGTGCTAAAAAATACCTTGCATTGCATTGATAGCCACCAGTAGCTGTAAATCATCATAATCATCACCTTTATAGGAAATGATTTTATTTATGCATTAGAAAGCCCTTATCTTTTGAGGTAGCTCCATACTTCAAGAGCCATGGTGCCATAGTGGTTAGAATGCAGTATTGCAGGCTAACTCTGCCCACTGCCAGGAGTTCGATCCTGACTGGCTCAAGGTTGACTCAACCTTGCATCCTTCCGAGGTCTGTAAAATGAGGACTCAGATTGTTGGGGGCAAAGAGGCTGACTTTGTAAACTGCTTAGAGAGGGCTGTATGGCGTAGAACATAAGTCTAGGTGCTATTGCTATTGCTTCTTCCTTTTGTCCCAGTTATGGAAGATTTCTTCATCCTGGAGAGATGATGAATGGGAAATAGGGAGTAAGAATCTCTAGATTTTATCTGGACCTTTTTTCATGCAGAGGAATTAAGTATTCTGCTGGACACATGTCTTTCCAGAGGTCACCATTCCACTTCCCTTCTAATCATTCATTTGTCATTGGTGAGGTGCTTCGGAGGGCATGCTCTGAATATTTATCCTTGGAAAACTAATAGGATCCATGTCTATGGAGATTCTGAGTCATCCAGATCATAGTTCTCCCAAAGGTGCTTTTTCAAAAGATAACCGGAATTTGTTTTTCTTTTATCTTCAAGGAAAAACAAAAAGTCCAATTGCCTTTTGAAAAAAAGCATCTTTGGGATAATAGGATCAATGTTGGTCCTTTTTTGAAGTTGCACAAAATGTAGATTTCCATCTGATGGGTCATTCAAGATCATGGACAACATGCAGCCCTGACTAGGTCATTTGCATCACAGGTCCTTAAACGTTGTGGGGGTTTGCGAACGTCTTTGATGTGCAGAAATTTAACAAGACCGGAATGTAAATCTATATAGTTCTTATTAGGTTATGTTTACAGAGGAAGATGTGAAATTCTACCTCGCAGAACTGGCTCTAGCTTTGGATCACCTGCACAGCTTGGGAATTGTATACAGGGACTTGAAGCCAGAAAAGTAATGTAAAATGTATTTTATCCACTATTATGGTACTCTTATTTAAAACGCTTCTTTGTATTTGCCATAAAATAAATACGGAATCACCGCAGAAGAGCTATACAGGTCATCCTCGACTTAACGACTGCAATTGAGCCCCAAAAACTTTGTGCTTATATATGCGACAGTTGTTAAGCAAACTTTGTCCCATTTTACGACCTTTCTGGCTGCCGTTGTAAAGCGAATCGCTGCAATTGTTGAATTAGTAACAGCGTTGTGAAGTGAACCCGGCTTCCCCATTGACTTTGCTTGTCAGAAAGTTGCAAAAGGGGATCACGTGACTCTGGGACAATTCGGCGTCCGAATTTTGGTCACGTGACCGTGGGGGATGCCGCAACGGTTGTAAGTGTGAAAAACGGACATGAGCCACTTTTTTTCCAGTGCTGTTGTAACTTTGAACCATCACTAAATGAGCTGTGGTAAGTCGAGGACTACCTGTACTCTGCTTCTTTTTTTCTCTCTCTCTTCAAAATATATGTTTTCAGAAAATTCTTAATTAATTAAATGTAATTTACTACAGTATTCTAATCTGCTCAACTGTCTTATTAAAATACTCCCGTTATGTGCATTGGTGAATGTGAATTTTAATTTTCAGCATTTTGCTTGATGAAGCAGGACATATCAAGTTAACAGGTAGGTGAAACTTATTAGTATAGCTTTTTTTAAAACACACACACACACACACATATATATATATATATATTTACGTAAATAGCCTCAACTGATTAAAAACGGCAGGTTATTTTGAACTGGGTCAAGTTGTCTCTGGAGAGATTCATCTTTCAGGTCCTCCCTTTAATCCTTGAATTATTTTTCAACTTTTTGTTGAATAAATGCTACAGTTCTAAAAGAATCGGTTTATTGTAGACTGGCTGTAATCTCCTTGTTGAGCCTTCCTCCAGTGTCCATTCCAGCTGGGGCGGAGTCTGCAAGACGTGGTCAAAAAAGTGAAGAGAGAAGCCCTGATGCTTCAATCAAAGCTCCACCCATTTTTATTATTTATTGATTCATTAAGAAAACTTATATGGCTTCCCAACTCACTCGTGGTGACACCAGGTGGCTAATAGAAATAAAGCCCCAAATATAAAACCCAATAAACCGTCACCTCCACTTGATGGGCTCCATATGACCATAAACTATGTCTTCTGGCCTTTTAAAAGAGTGCCAAGGTGGGAACCAAACTTATCTCCATGGGGATGATGTTCCATAGGGAGGCAGCTACCATGGAGAAGATCCTTCTTGGTCCCATTAGATCAGGGGTCTTCAAACTTGGCCCTTTTATGACTTGTGGACTTCAACTCCCAAATTCCTCAGCCAGCGTGCAGCCCAGCTGAGGAATTCTGGGAGCTGAAGTCCACAAGTCATAAAAGGGCCAAGCGTGAAGACCCCTGCATTAAATGGACCCATTTAAGGAGGGGTGACCTGTTACATACCCTGCATCTCCACATTGATGGGTTGGGTAGAAATAACAGATGGTTGGAACCAAACATGGGGATGATGTTCCATAGGGAGGGATCTACTATGGAGAAGATCCTTCTTGGTCCCATTAGATGGACCCATTTAAGGAGAGGCGACCTATAACATACCCTGCATCTCCACATTGGTGGGTTGGGTAGAAGTAACTGAAGTAGTCCTTCAAATAACCTGGCCCCATTTTTAAGTGTGTTACACACAGACAACAGATGGAGCAACAATCACACTAGTGTGGCGGTCCTCTTGGCTTCTCTGACTACGTGCTGTGAATACATCTGCCAGCTGTCTATTGTATTCTCATCTATCATAGCAGATGAGTAACATCAAAGTATAATGCCTACAGTATGTGCAAAGACAGGCTTGCAAAGGCATACTGCAAAGCTAGAATTTTCAACGTATCACGAAAACAGAAGAATGTTTGTTTTTACAAAGATATAAAACAGCATTAGCCCCCCCCGCCGGCCCCCACCCAAAGCACTGCTGATTATCAACCATCCGTTTCTCTTTTTGAAGAGTGCTCAGGGAGATTGGGGCTCTAATGCTCACATTTTGCCTTCTATGAAAAACAAGAAAATCATGTTTTGTAGTTATATAAAATGAAACCCTGCAAATTTTCAAAAGAATGCTAAAAATGTAGGGAAAAAATAATCTCTAGATACCATTCCAGGATGTTTTAAGATTTTAAATGAAGTTTATATAAGTCCACCCGTTACGTTTCTACAGTCTGTTTTTAGTCTATGCTTTTAAAATAAATTATGGTTTAATATTCTTGATTGAAAAAATCACACATACAAGTCAGGATTCGTTACAGATGTCTATGGAGATTCTCAGTCATCTACAGTAGGTCATGGTTGTTCCAAAGCTGCTTTTTCAAAAGGCAACTGGACTTTGTTTTTCCTTGAAGATGTTTCGCTGCTCATCCAAGAAGCTTCTTCAGTTCTGATTCCAGTCAGAACTGAAGAAGCTTCTTGGATGAGAAAAGAAACGTCTTCAAGGAAAAACCAAGTCCGGCTGCCTTTTGAAAAAGCAGCTTTTGGACATTCATTACAGGATGAATCTTTCCCTTTCTTTTTGATGGGGTCCATTTGTTGTTGTTGTTAGTTGCGAAGTCGTGTCCAACTCATCGCGACCCCATGGACAACGTTCCTCCAGGTCTTCCTGTCCTCTACCATCTTCTGGAGTCCCTTTAAGCTCACGCCTCCTGCTTCAGTGACTCCGTCCAGCCACCTCATCCTCTGTCGTCCCCTTCTTCTCTTGCCCTCCATCTTTCCCAGCATTAGGCTCTTCTCCAGTGAGTCCTTCCTTCTCATTAGGTGGCCAAAGTACTTGAGTTTCAACTTCAGGATCTGGCCCTCAAAGGCCATGTCCAGAAATGATACAAACCTAAGCTTAAACCTTCTTCCCTTTTGTTTCTAGCATTTGGCCAAACAGTTGCTTTTCTGTGTTTGACTCAGTAATACTCCAAATGTTGACTGAAGTTAACATAATTCCAGTTAAAACATTACAGCTCTCCTAGCTTCTTGCTCTCTAAATTTATTTATTTATTTCTTGAATTCATATAGCTGCCCTTCTCATGCGTGTGAATCTGGGCGTTGTACACAATTAAAACACAAAGCTAAATAACCAACATCATTCAAACACAACCATTAAAAATTGAGTTAAAAGTAGTTTCACAGCCTTTTCATTAAGGCCACGTGTGCAGTTGTACAGTTGTGTATATTGTATTTTCAGAGACAGCTACTGTATGTGAATTTCTTACCCCTTTTCAATCTCTCTGGAAGATGTAAATTTTCTCATGTGTTTTTGATTCTTATTGTCATGCTGTTTAGAGTATCTGGTGTGCTTTACGAGAAGCCGTTCCATTTGGATCTGTCAAAAAGCAATAATTGCTTATTTATAACATTTCCTAGGCACCAACTGTTAGGGCAACTAATATGTATGCACAATAAGAGCAAAACAAAGTCTCCAGTAAAATAATAAAACAACTAATCAAAACAAGTGTTACAGCAACAACAACACTCTCTAAATAGATCGCAGGAATGCAATTAATTTAAAACCAGACAGTGGCTTTTTAGCCTGTTGAAGAAATACTGACGTTCATTATTCTAATTCCGTGCTTAACTGCAGATACTGTCGCTTAGACCACATTTTATCACTGAATGTTGACTAAAAATGACACCTGTGGACTAAACATGCTTAGAAGAAAAGCCGCGTTAGCTAGTTTGCTACACTATAGTTGGCTGAAAATATTAAAATAGGGTGAGCAGAAATGAGCAGGCAACCTCAGCATGGACTCTGCCTCTTTTTTGGCAGAAAAGATATCATACATATATAGGAGGAGTTTGCATTAAGTTGAAATCCTCCACTTGGAGAAAGACACACAGTTGAAAATTCTAGCTTGGTCTTTGTACTGTTGTATAAATCTGTCGCTTGGACACTGGTGGAAGCTATGCAGAGATCAAAGTAGTGTTCCTCAACCTTAGCAACTCTAAGATATGTGGACCTGAACTCCCAGAATTCCACAGATAGCCATGCTGGCTGGGGAATTCTGGGAGTTGAAGTCCACAGATCTGAAAGCTATCAAGGGTGAGAAACGCTGGATCAAAGCCCTAGTTTGATGAAGCTTTCCAGAAACCGAGCTGGCGTTACATCCAAACCGATTCTCCCCTTCAAACTTTTTCATCGACCCAGTGGTGAGACATTTTGCTTTTACATCTAAATCAAGTCCCTATCTTTACGGGTGAAGCACAATCATAACTTACTTTCTGTATAATTTATTCTTCCAACCAAGCATAAAGTTGTAATGTCAATGAATCATGAATTGCTGTAACTAGGAAGGGACAGGAAAGATAGCATCAGTGTTATTAGGCTGTGTTATTATGCAGCTTGTGGGTATTTTGGTGGGCTTGCTTGAGGCCATCTTAATGGTTTTATTTAGTAATTAATTTAAGAGTTCATGGATAGGGTTGGGTCTCAGTCTACTAAAATTTAGGCTATTAAAAAGGAACCTATTCACCTTTCTGGTGTTGTTCGGCTCAGGGGGTGCCTGTAGCAAATAGAGATTTGGTCAAAATGATGACATGAGCATCATAGCATGTTGCAAGCTTGGCCTCTTATGACTTGCGTGCAACAATTACAATACAAGTACAAAAGGAGTTTATACTATGACACATGACTGGCTAAGAGATGAAGAAGAGATGGTGAAGAAATGGTGTCCTTCCGTTGGCGCTTCTCATTGGGTGGCCTTGAGGAAAGTAGACTTTTCATGATAGCTGGAGAGCGACATTGACCACATAATTTCCCCTAAATAACTCACATGCTAATCTCAACTTTCTATGACTGACATTGGCTCAGTGTCTCTTTGCTTGGTGTGTCTTTGTGATGCTGTTTTAGACTTCGGCTTAAGCAAAGAATCGGTGGATCAAGAGAAGAAAGCCTATTCTTTCTGCGGTACTGTAGAATACATGGCCCCTGAAGTTGTGAACAGGCGGGGCCACAACCAAAGTGCCGATTGGTGGTCCTTTGGTGTCCTCATGGTACTGTGCATTAATGGCCTGATTTTGGGTTGCATGTCGTAAGCATTTGATGTATTAATGATAGAAAGGAATAGTTGTATTTCACAGGGTTCAACTATGGTGTTCTTGATGCCCTCTGAGCTTGGTTGTTCTCTTGCAGACATCTCATTACCCACCTAGGTAACTTCATCAATTACTCCATGCACTGATGATGTTGCCTAGTTTGGTGACGAAACACCTCCAAGAAAAACCACTAAGCTTACAGAGCAACGTGGACCGCACAAATTTTATTATTGTTGTAATAATATTGTGCTTGGGTTTGATATTTTTGGAGTTGTGGGTTCAATATGTTTATTTGTTTGGGGTTTTATTGCCATGAATGTTTTGTTTATTTTATTTTTATTTTATTTTATACTCTTACCATGGGGTTTTTATTACATTTTATTTTATAAGATGCCAGGAATCAGAGTTATTTGTTGACATACAAATTTAATGAGATGTAATAAGTTATAATTTACAATTATAATATTTCTGTTGCTAAGCTTACATCAGGAGGGAAAGTGTGTTATTTGTAACTGTTCTCTCATTTGAACTGAACACACTTCATATTAATTTGAGCCACATCGCTGAGGAAAGAACACTTAAACCACCATTGGATATTGGAAAACATATTACATAATGCTATGGTAAATGTGATTATAAAGTGTTTATAGCTGTCATTAACTCTTTAAACAAAGTTATAAATGCATTTGCAGCCACCATAGTTTTGTTTGACTATTTACATTAATCAAATCTGTATCAGTGCAAAACGCTTAGAAGGTATCAAATGTTATCAAAATTTAATATAGTTATTAGTTAGCATAATAGAAAGCTCAGGGCTTATGGGTTGGAAACATGTGGAAAAGGCCTTCATCCTGCAGTGGATAGACATTGGCTAAAGTGATGGTGAAGATTTAGCGTAATTTATCCATTATCTATTATGAATTTAACAATTCGGTTTTAGTGCAAATTAGTGCACCTTCGCAATACATTATAATAAGAAGCAGGTTTTTCTTAAATCTCAATTCTGGAAGCTTAAACCTTGTTTGCTTGTTTTCTAAATGTTTGCTCTTTGTTTCTTTCTCAGTTTGAAATGCTGACTGGTACTTTACCTTTTCAAGGTAAAGACCGGAATGAAACTATGAATATGATCCTCAAGTAAGTATTTTTCTGTGCAGAACTAGTTCCATTGCTAAGTTTTTGCAAGTTAACGAAGATGGCACGCAGTTCATGCCATTGATAACAATAAAATGATTATCAAGTGGGATAAGCCTTAAAACCCTGCCCAAAATTCTTCGTTATCTAAGCTGTTTGAAAATTTCACATAAGGGGGAAAGTGAGTGGTTTTGGATAGGATAGTTTTATTGCAGGTTTTCAGGCTTTAATTAGTTTCAAAGTGTTTATCAAAGCAAAGCAAAACTTCTATTGCAGCCTCCTGATTAGGGAACTCTGCAATAAAAATACATAAGGGTATTTATCCATTTTTAAAACAGAGGAAAAAGCGTAAGGATTTGGTTAACTCTTAGGACGGTGTTCCCCAAACTGGCGGCCAGTTCGAACGTCCCATTTGAGTACATTGTTTGCATTTGATTTTTTAATTAGAAAGCACTTCTTGAATCCGAATTTTCCCTTTTCCCAGAGCAAAACTTGGAATGCCACAATTCCTTAGCCCTGAAGCTCAGAGTCTCCTGAGGTTGTTGTTTAAAAGGAACCCTTCAAACAGGCTAGGTAAGTTAATAATAATAGTAAAGTTGGAAGGGACCTTGGAGGTCATCTAGTCCAACCCCCTGCTCAGGCAGGAAACCCTATACCATTTCAGACAGAAGGCTGTCCAGTCTCTTCTTAAAAACTTCCAGTGTTGGAGGAGGGAGGGAGGGAGGGAGGAAGGAAGGAAGAAAGGAAGGAAGGAAGGATAACAGAATAACAGTTGGAAGGGACCTTATAGGTCATCTAATCCAACCCCCTGCTCAGGCAGGAATCCCTGTACCATTTCAGACAAATGGCTGTCCAGTCTCTTCTTGAAAACTTCCAGTGTTGGAGCATTCACCGCTTCTGGAGGCAGTTAGTCCTGCCTATATCAGTCTTCCTTGAGGTGGAAATTTCCAGATGTTCTGGACCTTCACCTCAAAATACCATGGTCAAAGGATAAAAGAGAGACAATTACAAGGGTGGGAAGAGCCATAGGCACAGAAAGCAAATTCGTCTAGTGGAAGGGAACTCATGCCAAGTAGACTTACTTTTAGGACCCTTCCGATTGCGTCTCTCAATCGATGGGGACCTTCATCGGCATATGTAATTGTTGTTTGATTTGCAATCATGTTGTGTGTTCTGTTCCTTGAAATTATAGGGGCTGGTCCTGATGGGGTTGAAGAAATAAAGAGGCATCCCTTCTTTTCAACCATTGACTGGAATGTGAGTCTATGGAATAAATCTGTACTTGTAGTAAGGACTCCAGTTTGATATAATGCTTGGCAACTCTTGCATTTTTTAATGTTGGGAAATACCTTGAGCAGGTAAAGCAAAAAATACCCAACGTACATTATTTCTACCAAAATGAGAAAAAAAGAAAGGGGTAGTGATGCTGCAATAAATTATTTCTTCTTCTTCTTCTTCTTCTTCTTCTTCTTCTTCTTCTTCTTCTTCTTCTTCTTCTTCTTCTTCTTCTTCTTCTTCTTCTTCTTCTTCTTCTTCTTCTTCTTCTTCTTCTTCTTCTTCTTCTTCTTCTTCTTCTTCTTCTTCTTCTTCTTTCTTCTCCTCCTCCTCTTCCTCCTCCTCTTCCTCCTCCTCCTCCTCCTCCTCCTCCTCCTCCTTCCTCCTCCTCCTCCTCTTTTGCAACTTAGATGTACCTAATAGTACATCATTTTTATTTCTTTTCATAGCATGTAGAAGCTTTTCAAAAGCATTTATAGAAACAGGAGAATGCAGGTTCAAGAAAAGCCCAATGCCTCTTGATTCCATCATAGTGACTGCCTAGAGAATACTTATACTTGCATCCAGTAGTTTTCCTTTCGTCAATAAGTCTCTTTGAAGAAGCAAGCTCTTCTGTAATAGAAGGAGCGGAGAAGTTGAGTTTTACTCATCATTCTTTCTGTGTCTCCAGATGGCTCTGGGGACAGTTACAAGGGTGGGAAGAGCTCCAGGCACAGAAACCAAAGGCTTCAAAAACTGAATCTGCAGAACCACACAACTTCCCATTAGAAAAGCAATATTAATCCATGCTAATCTATGGCGAAATATTTACTTTTTGTGATTATGATTCCAGAAACTTTACAGGAGGGAGATCCAGCCTCCATTTAAACCTGCTTCTGGAAGACCGGAAGACACCTTTTGCTTTGACCCAGAATTCACAGCAAAAACTCCCAAAGGTAATATCCTAATATTGAAAAGAATATAGTGCATTACAGGCAGTCCTCGACTTACAACAGTTCATCTAGCGACCATTCAAAGTTACAACGGCACTGAAAAAAGGGACCTAGGACCGTTTTTCACACTTACGACCGTTGCAACATCTCTGTGGTCACGTAATCAAAATTCGGGCGCTTGGCAACTGACTCGTATTTATGACGGTCGCTGCATCCCAGGATCATGTGATACCCTTTTGCGACCTTCTGGCAAGCAAAGTCAGATTCACTTAACAATCATGTTACTAACTTAACAATTGCAATGATTGACTTAACAACTGTGGCAAGAGAGGCCATAAAACGGGGTAAAACTCACTTAACAAAAGTCACGCTTAGCAACAGAAATTTTGGCCTCAATTTTGTAGTCGTAAACCAGGAACGACCTTTATTCTATCTTTCTTCCCCCCGTTTCTCTTTCATAATAGAATTTTCCATTGAAAAGTTCAACGTAATAATTGAAATATAGATATAAACTTCTAGTAAGACTAAATAAATATAGGGCAATCCTATCGGTCTCCATCAAAAATATTCATTTTTAGATATTTTTTTTTTAAAGTGGCTTTTATTTAATATCACTGAATTGAAATCGACTAATTGAATTAGTTTTTCCACGCTAATTATTTGGTTTAACATCACTGAATTGAAACTGACTAATTGAATCAGTTTTCCATGCTAATTATTCGGTTAAAAAAAATAAATCAAGCTTTCATTTTCCTTTGTTTATTTCTTGGTTACGGCACTCAAAAGGGTGGGTAGATTTGCCATCTTTCCAAAAGAGGATTAATAATAATAATAATAATAATAATAATAATAATAATAATAATAATAATAATAATAATAAAGTTGGAAGGGACCTTGGAGGTCATCTAGTCCAACCCCCTGCTGAGGCAGGAACCCGACACCATTTCAGACAAATGGCTGTCCAGTCTCTTCTTAAAAACTTCCAGTGTTGGAGCATTCACCACTTCCTGAGGCAGGTTGTTCCACTGATTCGTTGTTCTAACTGTCAGGAAGTTTCTCCTTAGTTCCAGGTTGCTTCTCTCCTTGGTGAGTTTCCATCCGTTGCTTCTCGTCCTGCCTTCAGGCGCCTTGGAGAATAGCTTGACTTCCTCTTCTTTGTGGCAGCCCCTGAGATGTTGGAACACTGCTATCATATCCCCCCTCATCCTTCTCTTCGTTAAACTAGACATACCCAATTCCAGCAACCGTTCCTTATAAAATCTGCATTATGAAAGAGAATATTTTGCATTATATTTTGGGCAAGCTAACGTATCCTGCTGTTCAATTAATTAAGATTCTCCAGGAGTTCCTCCAAGCGCCAACGCCCATCAGCTTTTCAAAGGCTTCAGTTTCGTTGCGACGAGCTCCATAGAAGACCACAAACTCACCACTCTCAACAACATTTTGCCAATCGTACAGGTAAAAAAAGGGTGTATGTGCGTGTGGAGTTTCTAGTCTGTGCGTGCAGAATATTGAAACTGCCATTCCTGACCAATTTATGTAGTATTAAAACTTGCGAGAAATGCTTGTTCACTAGTATTGCTGGTGTAAGAATCTGATTTTCCGGTTTTGCAACTATGAAAAAATAATGTAGGGTTAATAAGTTGTAAGAGGTCGCACACTTTCCCAGTTGAGAATGGCGGCGTCTTAGCTTGAAAGATGAAGTATGTCTGTCTATATGTCTGTTTCTTTTTTTTTGAAAGGGGCTTAAAAGGAAGTCTTCTTCAGAACACAAAAGTCATATAATAATCCACTTGAGAGTAAACTATTAAACTGTGTTATGAATCCAAGCAGGGTTATTATTTTCACCGAATTTCATACAGACACTTTCCCCTTATCTATAACAAAAAATGTTAGAATATATTTTTCTTAGTCATGATTTTTTGCTACATATATTGTAGATGATAAAATGTGGTTAAGTACAGTTAATTATATTTCTTTTCACAAGTCCAAGTTGCGTGGAGATGATAAGAAGCAGGGTGCCTGCAGAAACGTTCTGAAAAAGTTGACGAAATAATTGCAAGCTTTTAAATGTTGTTTTATTGTGTTCTTTAGCAACTTCATGGGAGCAGTGCACTCTTCACAAATGCCTATGAACTTAAAGAAGACATTGGCGTGGGATCCTACTCAGTGTGTAAGCGCTGCATCCATACAGTTTCTAATATGGAATTTGCAGTGAAGGTACGTAGGGCACTATTTGTATCCATGTCATTTTTAAATATCTAAACATGTATAACAAGCTACTGTACATAAACTAGCCCACATTTAATAAATGTTTTATAGCTGTTCTTAACAAGTTTAAATTAAAGTAAGATTTAGGTTCTTTTCATCTTATTTAGAATGAATATATAATTCTTTCTTAAATAGAAATGTCCTTCGTTGTGCTGAATTTAATCTCTTGTCACGCTTCCTTGTTGTCATTGTCTCCCCCCTCCAGATAATTGACAAAAGTAAGAGGGATCCTTCTGAAGAAATAGAAATCTTGATGCGATATGGGCAGCACCCCAACATTATTACTTTAAAAGATGTAAGTATTCTGTTTGGTTTCCAAATAGTGTACAAACGGCAACAGTTGAAGGAATGAAGCTCTTTCATCCAATTTGATCTCTACTGGAATTCAAAAAGAGAAGTTCTCAATATTTATCAGTGAAATATGATTCTATTGGATTAAAAATAGGCTTTGTTGTAGTATGTCTACACAGGTCTATGGGTTTATTGTTCCCAACTGGGTGGAAATGTAATTTCATCTGTATTAACTTTACAGAAGGGATGTCCATCCTTGGCAACTTTTAAGACTTGTGGACTTCAACTCCCAGAATGCCTCAGCCAACATGGGGAATTCTGGGATTGAAGTCAACAAGTCTTAAAGTTGCCAAAGTCGGACACCCCTGCTTTATGGCAAGGGAAAGAACCCCATAACACATGATCCTCTTTTCCCCCCAATCCCTCAATGTCCTCTCATCTGACAGGCTGAAGCAGCAAAAAGTTATTCAGAAGTTTGGAATCTTTGCAACCTTTTTTAAAAAAAGGTTATTTGTGCAAAATCAGGCTCTTCTGATGAATGTGCCTCTAGGCAGACCTTGTGTTTCATGCACCTTTCCTGGAATATGTGTTACTCAACTATATTAAACTTCTGCAGGTGTACGATGATGGTAAATATATCTACCTTGTCACAGAATTGATGAAGGGAGGTGAGCTTCTGGACCGTATTCTCAGAAAGAAGTATTTCTCAGAACGTGAAGCCAGTGCCGTCTTGTATACTATCACTAAGACTGTGGACTACCTGCACTGTCAAGGAGTAAGCTGTGCACAATTTGATAATTTAATGAAGTTTTGGGTTTATGTTTTTAGGGTTTGTTTGGATCTTGGCTTTATGCTTGCTGCAAGCTGCCCAGAGTGGTACTTTACAATGGGCAGCTGTATGCATCTTTTAAATACATAAATAAATATCCATGTAATGAAATCCTGAAGAGTCAGTTTGGTGTAACGATTAAGGCATCACTCCAGAACTTGGGAAACCATGAGTTCTAGTCCCGCCTTAGGCGTGAAAGCCGGCTGGGTGACTTTGGGTCAATCACCAGAAAATGTTGAGTTCTGGTCCCACCTTAGGCATGAAAGCTGGGTGACTTTGGGCCAATCACCAGGAGACGGTGAGTTCTATTTCCACCTTAGGGATGAAAGCAGCTGGGTGACTTTGGGCCAATCACCAGGAAATGTTGAGTTCTAGTCCTGCCTTAGGCATGAAAGCTGGGTGACTTTGGGTCAATCACCAGAAGACTGTAGGTTCTCGTCCCACCATAGGCATGAAAGCCAGCTGGGTGACTTTGGGCCAATCACCAGGAGACAGTGAGTTCCGATCCTGCTTTAGTCATGAAAGCTAGCTGGGTGACTTTGGGGCAGTCTCTTTCATCCCTAGGAAGAAGAAGACAAGGAAACAGCAGTTCTGAAATCTTGCCAAGAAAACTGCAGAAAAATGATCCAGTTAGTCAATAGGAGTCAACATTGACTCAAAGGCACCAAATAAACAAACAGAAATCCTTATCATTTCAGTAAGCGGGTTGACTTGAGGACAAGTGCTAACCAGAGACTAGTCTGTATAATAAAGCTAGGTGGGATATTATATTTTAGAATTTAGCTGGCAATTGCTGGAGACAAAATTAGAGGGAGGGGTAGAGGGTTTGTTTGTTTTTAAGATTGTTTGCCACCCAGAGCGAGTTGTTGAGTTGGGCGGCCATACAAATTGAATGAATCCATCAATCCATAAGCAAATAAACAAACAAACCTGATTTAGAAGCGGGTGTTTGTAAGCAAAAGAGAAAATCAGATGTAACGATTAACGTTTAACTTACAGCTGGATAAATTGATTCTGTGGTCTGCTCCTAATTTCGAAGTCACATTTTTGTAGAAATTAGCTTTAACATTCAATCACTCATTCTACTCTCCTTTATTTGTGTTGCTTCTGAGTCTGATAGAATTATTTAATCTTTTTAAACATTTTTGAAAGGCTTGGAGTGGTTTCCCCC